TTGAATGCTGTATTGAAAGGGAAAAACGAATTGTTGTAAAGTACAGTTTCTGCTGAATGTGTATTGTTTTTTGCACCATTGAGAAGTAGAAAAGTCATAAGTTGAAACTTCGTACATTGGGGGCCATCTGTATATATGTAAGGTGTATAATAGTGCCTAACACATAGTAGGTGTTCAATGAATATTTTTGAATACATTGTTAATGAATGTCCTATTTTTGTTTGTTGGATTGCTGTCAGTTTTGTTTTTAAAGTGTCAAGTCCTGAGGAAACTAAGGGAAATAAGCCATCATTCCTATCTTAGCATGAATTCATTGATCCTTGTCTATTTCTTCCTAATATAAAGTTGAGATTAACCTCAGGGAAGAAATGGCTTTTTGACAATGGGGTCTTGGACCTTGAATCTATTTTAAACCAATCTCTGGTGCTTCTCTAGTTTCTATTTTGTTTCCTTTCTCCCTTTTATTGCCACAGAACTTCAATAAGTAGAATGCACCAGAATTTATTCCTTTGTCTCCATCTACTCAGTCTTTAAGTTTTCATCACTGCCCTAAATTTAGTTTCTGGCTTCACTGCTTGATTAATCTGATGGTGTCTTTTCCCTCAGTACTTCTCTTCCTCAATTTGTCACTAACACCTATTGTTATTGACCAGCGCCTCCTTGAAACTCTCTTCTTTTGGGTACCTCAAGCCTGCGTAACTGAGTTCTTCTTTTTCTCTGTTCTGTTTTCCTTCTCCCTAACCCTTGCGTGTGGACATTTCTTAAGGTTTTGTTGTCAGCCATCTTTCTATGTTTCGTCCTTCAGGAGTCTCAGGAACTTTCATGGCACCAACTGTCAGCACTGTATAGGTGACTCCCAAGCCTGTACTCTTATATCTCAAGCCCCAGCTTTTCATCTTCGCTTCCTGCTAGACAATGCTTCTTAGAATTATATGCCTGTGAAATGTCTTGGCAAGCTGGCTACAAGACCTGGAGGCATTGGCCCCCTCTGGTGGAGAGAGTAGAAAGTCATCTTGCTTTGATGGAACCTCAGCAGATATTCCAAGATTACATTTTGTTATGCAGCTACAAAATATGCTATATTCAAATATAAGCACTTTCCTAATAACTCTAGAGCACATCTCTTAAACCAGCAATAATTATTTTAAACAGATCTCTCCTTGGCTCCTTCAGTTTCTTTCTAGACCACTTTGATGCAACCAAGTGGGTTTGGGCTGTAAGAATTCATTGGGATGACTTTAAGGCAGAAAATGGTGTGTGTTAGGTGCTGTGAAGGATGTCATGAGATACAGGAACCTAACAGTTTAACTTGGAAAAGACATTCACTCTGGAGATGTGAATAAATCAATAGGTAAATCCCAAGATAACACCGTGTCACAGGAGATGTCACAGAGCAGTCAGATGCCAACAAACGGTATAGGCCCTGAATATAGAGAAGGTTGAAGTCACTTTCTGGAGGTTGGCATGTTCCAGAATGGCTTCGTGGAAGAGACAGGACTTACGCTCATTCTTAACAAAATATTTGCTAAACTTCTAACCTTCTGGACGTTTTTACCATGTTCACAAACCATCTGTATTATGTCTCCTATGCTGTTCTTTGCTTTGACACTATTTATTTATTTATTTACTTATTTATTTACTTATTGATTAGGGACAGGGTTTCACTCTGACACAGGCTGGAGTACATTGGTGTGATCATAGACTCCTGGGCTCAAGCAATTCTCCTGTCTCAAGCCTCCTGAATAGCTGGGACCCCAAGCACACACCACCACACCTGACTAGTTTATTTTTATTTTTATTTTTGTAGAGACAGAGTCTCCCTATGTTGCCCAGGCTTATCTCAAACTCTTGGTCACAAGAAATCCTCCTGTCTTGGTCACCCAAAGCACTAGGATTTCAGGCATGAGTCATTGTGCCTGGCCAGGACTTTTTTTATTATTATAGATAACTTGTGTCTTGCCTTAAACCATCAAATCCATGAAATAACAGTTTCAATGTGCTTTTTATGTTTGGTGTGTATTTGTGTTTCTAATACGCATGAAATATATACAGAAAATATTCACTGTAGGGAGATTATTAGCTTTAGAAAAAGGTTACTCAAAGAGAATCAATCTACCTAAACAAAATCAGTCAAATATTGATATAAAACACTTGATTAGGACTTTAGTTTATAAATAAAACTAAACATTATGAAAATAAGTATATTTTATTGTATACTTAATAAATTATAAGCTGTCATTGCAATTAGGAAGAATTTAGATGAACAAAATGTTATTTGGTTGAATATTGAGTATTTTTTCTGATAAAGTAATTTAACTTTCATGGCACAAATATTAAAGGACTTCAAAATGAACCTCTCTTGGTCTTTAAATATTAAAATTATTTTTTGAGTAACCTACCATAATAATTTTCAAGTCTCAAGGAACCTCTGGATAAAAATTATTATATCTGAAGCTCATAGCATATTAGTGTGATTATTTGACTGCAGATATAGTTATCCAATAGTTGTCAATACTCTAACTAGAGAGTGGCATTTTCCTGGTAAGTTGTTTAGTTTCACCAGCATCTTAGCCTATTCTTTTGTACAATTTCCCTCTCCTCACAAAGAACAACAACCCTGACAAGCATGGTGGCTCAAGCCTGTATGTAATTCTAACACTTTGGGAGGCTGAGGCAGGAGGATTGCTTGAGCTCAGGAGTTGGAGACCAGCCTGGGCAACATATCAAGACCTCTTCTCTATAGAAAATCAAAAAATTAACTGGGTGTGGTGGCACAGACCTATAATCCCAGCTACTCAGGAGAGCAGGGTGGGAAGATCACCTGAGCCCAGGAGGTAGAGGCTGCGATGAACCATGATTCTGCCACTGTACTCCAGTCTGGGTGACAGAGCAAGACCCCAACTCAAAAAAAAAAAAAAAAAAGAATACCAACTCCAATGATAAAAATAGAAGAAACTTCAGTTTTTTAATTTTAAAGAATTTCCTACTAGATTTTTTTTGTATCTTATATAAGCAGGCCTAATATTCTTATCACTAATGTCTGTTGTATGAATGCTACTGAGATATGGTATGTAGTATATGGTAAGTGCAAATTCTATTTAAAGCTGAAAATGACTTCTTAGACAACCAGCCTTGAAAAGAAAAAAAGTATAGTTAAAGTTCTTTCTTGAAATTAATTCCATTCTTTCCATTTCATGAATTTGAAAAACTTATAAGGCAAACATAGTTAATTTTTATTAAGTAACTGACTGAAGCCAAAATGGGATCCAATTTTTCTGAAGGCGGGCTTATTAGGTTTCATTTAAATGAAGGTTATGAACTTATTTTAGTTCATGCTATTTTGAATATGAAAATATATTGACAATGCTGAAGAATAAAGCATTTAAAACTGTACATCAAAGCAATATAAATAAAATTGTGGCCTAAGATATCATTTTTATATAAGACTTTGAAAAAAAGCAATTTTTTATTGAGTGGCATGTAGATAATTATAAAATTCTCATACACTAGCGCTGGTTTTATGGTTACTTGAATAGGTCTATAAAGGTATTTTAATTACTGTTTTGGAACGAAAAATAAATAATTAAGTGTATTTCTTTAATGTGAAATTTATGCCTTTTATTGATGCCCAGTTAGTCAATTCTAGGTCGAGTGTGAGATAAGTTGACATGGATTTCACCTTCAACAGAAATAAGACCATTTCTATCCTTATTCTTGATGCTTCTCAAAAAAAAGCTTTCTCACATGAATAAGAGAATGAAAACAGGCAGCCTCCCTATATCCTGCTTCAAAAACTGATGATGGTTTCAACCCAATGACCATGAGTCTATTCTAAAGGACTAAAAGACCTGTCACAAAATTTCTAGTGGGGCACCTTTGTCGCTCTGCATCACCTCTGACAGAACCCATGGTGACCTCTTGTGGAACCCTAGTATCCCATAGAATCCCCTTTGAGAAACTCTGCTCTTTGTTCAATGAACCCTGGAGTAATGTGAGCCCCTGTATATAATTATTGACCTCAAACTTTTTCATACTGTATACCACCTAAAGTCGTGTTATCCATAACTTGGGAAACACTGCCTAAAAGGACAGGTAAATTCTGGATATGTTTAAAGGAGGAATAAGGGCAGACCGAGTGAGGAGAATATCAGAACAAAGGTCAAGGGGCAAGGAGTTCAAGAATAAATAAAACGGACTGACATCAGGAACTCATTGAGAGAAACAGGGAGGCCTAGAGTCAGGGGGAAAATTAAGGGTGAGTTGTAGAGGCCCGGAACTAAGGGAAAAAAGAGTACTGAAAATTTGAAAATTCACAAAGGTTTTGAGGAGTGAGTGAAACGGGATGAGAGTGATTGGAGGAAGATGAATTGGCAGGTGAGAAGGATCTAGAAGTACACAGGCAAGTACAAACATCGGAATAACCTAAGTCAGTGGAAACAGAGCCGACAAAGGACGGTGACAGTAACAGTGAAGAAGTGGTTAGGTAGGAGACATGTGGTAATGGAGTTGACCGTGTCAGATAAACTCGACAATCAACATATTTCCACTGTCAGAAATATTAGAAATGTGGACCTGAGTCAATTTTTCTGGAAGTCCTGCAGGCTGAGCTGTTTTCCAAGACTCACTAGTCAGCCATCTTTCAGGCCTTGCACCCTGACGCTATTCCTGTCACTTCCACGCAGGAGGACAGACCCAGCAGGGCCAGAAATCCAGCTAATTTGTAAAAATCGTGCCATTTGAAACATCGGCTATTCCATTCTTTGTCAAATAAAACATACAGTGGCATAGACTTGGTTGCTTATTGGCAACTTGTGTGGAATTCTGTGTGCTGCTTTCTAAAATCACCTTGATATATACACCAGACCGAAAGGCAATAATAGTCCCTATTAGAAGCCTGTCTGTGCAATTCCTCCTGGAAAGGCTTTTTTGTGGTAGCTAATATTTTCCTTTTGTTGGAATGTTGATGTGAAAGTTACAAGCCTTTCTCTGCTTCTTCCCAGCCAGGTCTCTAGACAAACTTTATAACTTTGCTGATTGCTCTGGACTCCACCTGATATTTGCTCTAAATGCACTGCGTCGTAATCCCAATAACTCCTGGAACAGTTCTAGTGCCCTGAGTCTGTTGAAGTACAGCGCCAGCAAAAAGTACAACATTTCTTGGGAACTGGGAAATGGTAAGTAAGGATGTTATTTCCTCCGAATTGACCAAATAAAGGGAAAAAAACAAGTTGGCTTGTGATGTGGTCTCAGTCAGACCGTCTCTAGTACCCTGGCGTAGAAAGCATGGAGATGTTTGGCCACTGAGCTGACCACTCAAATGGTAAAAGCAGACAGTGGAGGCGGAAAGATTTAGTGAATGCACACCATTCGCCTCCATAGTTACCTCTCATTGCTTCATCCCAAATGTGGGGAAAATGCCATAAAAAGTGGGGAACACGTAGTGATGTATGACTAACAAATCGAAGCTACAACCTGTTTACACAGCCTGAGCTGTATTTTACCACGTGTGTTCTGTGGCTAATTGGTTCTACAAGATGATCTTCATGAAATAATAATGCAAAAGGGCTTTGGTCAAATATATTTGGGGACTGCTACACAGCGCATGAACCTCTTGAAGGTTCACAGTGCACATTTGTATGTACAAGGCTCTGGGCAGTCTTGCTGCAGAGAAATCTGACATTTTTTAACCCAGATTTTTTTTATTTAAATAACTTTTGCATTATTATTAATTCACACATAAAAATTGTACATATTTATGAGGTACAATAGGATATTTTGATTCATGTGTACAATTGTAATGCTCAAATCAGGGTAATTAGCATATTCATCACCCCAAACATGTATTGTTTACTACTTGTGTTCAGAACATTCAAAGTCCTCTCTTCTAACTATTTGAAAACATACAACAAATTGTTAACCATAATCATCCTACAGTACTGTAGACACCAGAACATATTGTTCCTATCTAGTTGTAATTTTGTATCCATTAACCAACTTCTCTCTGTTTTTCTCTCCCTATTCCCCTTCCCAGCCTTAAGTAACCATGATTCTACTCTCTACTTCTATGAGCTCAACTTTGTAAGCATCCACATAACTCATTCTGTTCTAACTATAAACATAAGCCCTTATTGAACCCAGCATTTTTTAGAGCATTTAACTAGGGCTGGTTTCAGGGATGTGCAGTCACATGGGGCCCTGTTCTTAGAAGAGACCCCTGCTTGGTTTAATGCTCTACTGTTACTGTCTTGACACTCTTAATAAGTTTTCTAAAAGGGGACCCACACTTTCACTTTGCATGGACCCTGAAAATTATGTAGCCAGTCCTACTTAATATTGAAGTGTATGCATGCGTGTGTGTGTGTGTGTGTGTGTGTGTGTGTGTGTGTGCGTGTGTAGCATAAGTTAACCTTCTTTCCGTGGAACAATATTCTGTAGAACACAGTTTGGAGAAATATGTCCAAGTCATGCTATTTTTTACAATGACATATATTTATATATGATATATATGTTATTCTTTAGATTCCTTACATTTTTGATATTGAGTCAATCAGTATGTGTTTTAGTTAAAATTATGGACAGCACAAATCTGAAAATTTTCTGATTCTCTAACTAGAAGACATTGGCAAATCTTAGAACAAAACACTTCAGTCTAACAAACACATAATTCTCTTAATATTGCTGGGACACACTGATTCCACCATTTTTGGCCATGGCTTTGTATGTCTGTCACTAACTCATATTTGTTTGGAGCACTGTGTGTATGAGTATGTGTGTGTCACATGCACACGTGTGCCCACGTGTATTTATTACATTCTGGATGTGCAGTTTTCATAATAAGATGGCAAAGGAGGAGGGTCTTATAAGAGAAAATGTCCCATTGTCCTATCAGCATCCATGAACTAGAATGTAGCTCTCAGTTTCTTTCTTCCTGTTCTACTTTCCTCTCTTCCTCACCTGCAGTGGGGGAAATCTGGGGAGAGTTAGGGATCAAATGAAGACCCATTGGGTTGAACTGATGATACTTTGACTATAGGAGCAGAACTGGTGTCACCTGAGACTTTTCATATTTCTAGCCAGTCTGGGTATCATGTATTTCTTGACAGAGCAGGAAGGAAGTGACCAGCTTTGAACTAGGCAAGATTATTTCATAGTAAGCAAAATTCCTTCCTGATCCCTCCCCCTCCTATCTTTTATGTTCTGCTTTTTAACATTTGGGGGTATTTTATATTGTCTATTCATGACAACCCCACCTAACCTTACCCTGCTCCAATATCAGATTCCACTCAGTTTAGCTGTATTCCCCAAATGGTGCAAAATATTCTTTGGACAGGGCATCTTTTCTGCCATGACTGACCAACTAGGCCTAATGTTTAAAATGGGTGACTATTAGACATTAAGGTTGGTAGGACTTTTGCTGATCTAGAGAACGCATGCTTTGCCCAAAGACTTCATCTGTTTTCCTTGTAAAAATATTGTGCTGTCTAACTAAAATTGCTTGTAAAAAAATCTCAGCTAGTTATAGATAAGCCCAAAGCAATTAAAACTTACTTACCAATGATTAATGGAAATAATTACTCTAGAGTTTTTGGCATCTCTGAGTGTGGGAGCCTGCTAAACGAAATACGTCTTCAGCTGGTATAATTGGAGTCATTTGGCAATGGGGGTGGGCTGGGAAAGAGAGTATAGACATCTTTCTGTATTCACTTCTCTATTCTAGACAACAGAGAGCTTACCACCTCCCCCTCATATACTTCCTTCCCTCAAACTAAGCTAAGCAGGTCTGAGATGGAGCGAGTTATGTGAAAAGAACATTATTTAGTCACCTTGGCCTTACAACACTGGGTTTCCATTGTCCTCCTTTTAAGGACCTCTTCAGGGCTTAACAAAAAATATTTGTCATGTAACACCACTTATGAGGAGGAGAAAAAGCAACTGCCATTGATGAGAAAATAGGAATATGTAGGGAAATAGCCTAACCCATGAATTTAAAATTCAATGCATAGAAAGTATACAGTCATGTTTTTGTGAGCATTTCTACAAGTCATTTTTTAATCTTTTTTTTTTGAGTTGGAGTCTCACTCTGTCGCCCAGACTGGAGTGCAGTGGCCGCTCCCGGCCACCGCAGCCTCGACCTGCTGGGCTCCGGCGATCCTTTCGCCTCTGCCTTCCAAGTAGCTGGAACTACAGGCGTGCGCTACCACGCCCGGCTGATTTTTTGATTTATGGTAGAGATGAGGTCTGGCCAAGTCGCCCAGGCGGGTCTCAAACCCGCGGGCTCAGGCCATCCACTCACCTCAGCCTCCCAAAGCGCGGGATGACAGGCTGAGCCACCGAGCCCGGCTCATTTTTGAATCTTTAGTCAGAAGTCTAGTGTGAGTGTTTTTCCCTTCCCTTTTCTTTTAAAAAGTGCATTTTTATTTTTTGATATAAACTTAATAATCTTCCAAACTCAGTTTACGTTTTAGGGTTTGAAGATTATTTTGCTGTTTCTTTCATTCATTTTGAAACTACTGATAATTTTCCTTGTGCTAGACTCATATCCCTTAAGATATGATCCTAAGATATAATATTCTGCTCACAACTCTTCTGTGTTGTATCTTCAGCCCCTTTTCCCTCAAAAATTATCTGCATGGTCATCCTCCTGGCCTAGACTTGTTTCTCCAATCTTCGATTCATTTTCTCCTTTGTAACCTTATCTTTTTGGACAGAAGTAATAGTTTAACCACTAAGGGAAGAACAATAGGACCGGTCAGTCTTCTCTTCCCTCATCCTTCTATATGCCCCTACCCTGTTAACAAGTCTTTTATCTCGACAGTAAATCTAGCACTGGAACAACCAAAGAAGACATTTCTTTGGTTGTTGCTCCTGGAGTGGTTAAACTTCAAGGGGCTGACCTACTTTTTTCCCCTATCCTTTGAAATCCACGGTTGGTATACAAAAGCAAGGTGTACTCAATTCCAAGAGGCAAAGATCCAGAAAATTTAGAATGTCGAAGTCTGTGAAAGAATTACTTTCTTGATACACTATTTTTGAGACAATTAAAAGAATAGTGTATCAAGAAAGTAACTCTTTCACAGACTTCGACATTCTAAATTGCCTGAGTCTGCGGGTTCGAGACCCCGCCTGGGCAACTTGGCGAGACCTCATCTTTACAATAAATCAAAAAATCAGCCAGCTGTGGTAGCACGTACCTGTGGTTCCGGTTACTTGGAAGGCTGAGGTGGAAGGATCACCAGAGCCCAGCGGGTCGAGGCTGCGGTGGCCGGTAGCGGCCACTGCACTCCAGTCTGGG